GAGGGAAGGCCAAACAGCTTTTCTTTGATTCCCCCTGCTATGTGAAATCTGCCGGCACGGTTGGTGGTGCGTGACACCCCTCCCTGCCAACGGAGCCACCAGCACGTACCAGTTGAACACCAACAGTGTCTGTGACTCAGAGATAAGATGAAGTCACGTCATTTCTCAATCAGTTTAAAAACACGTCACTCGTCTCCGGGGCCCCATCCTCGGCACAGCATCAGCCTCACGCACATGAGGTCAATGCTGAAGTGTCACTGCAAAACAGGGTCTCAGTCCAATCCTGGGGAAGATTAGGCCTGTAGGGTTGGGTTGGTTAGGGGCAGGGATAAATTAGGGGATCTCGGTGTGGCCTTTGCTTTTTCCTCCCTTCCCTGGAAGGCTGCGCAGCTGCCTGTCCCGCTCGCCTCAGCCCAGGCGGGGATCAGCCTCCTGGAGCTGCCGGATAAGCGGGGCCGGCAGCGATGCAGTCCCTGGGGCATGTGCGGAGCTTGGCGGTGGAGCTGGAGGACGGGCAAGTGTGGGGCGCCTACGGCAGCGGGGAGCTGCTGCACGGCCGGGTGCAGCTGGAGCTACGCGGCACGGTGCGGCTACGGGTGCTGGAGGTGTACGCTTGCGGACGCGCCACCGTGCACTGGGTCGAGGGCCGCAGCGTGGGGCTCAACACCATCTACCATGACTACACAGCCTACCAGACCTTCCTGTACCGCCACTGCCAGCTCATCCCCGGTAAGGCTGGGGCACGGGGGTGGTTCTCTGCTCCAGGACATTGGGTTGGGATCCCCTTGGGCTGCAGGCATGCCCTGCGCGAGGACCTCTGCCCTCCTGGGTGCTTCCAACCCTTGGGCACCCTCTTCTCACCTTTGCCGAGGGTTTCTCTGCTGCTGGTTTCTAGGAGGCTGCCTGCAAACTCGGGGCTGGTGAGCAGGAAAGGGTTGTGGCTTTTGTTCTGTTTGCACAGGGAAGCGCAAATAGAAGTGTCTGTTCGCAAGTGTGGAAAGAGCACTTAGTAGTTCAGTAAATATTTGTTTTCAGTTTTCTGATGCTGGGACTGTGTGCCCAGCTGGCACGTTGCTTAGATCTCCTGCAAGAGGACAGGCCGCTTGGGTTCTTCGTGTGGTTGGGATGAAATGATCCAGAGCCGAGGGATATGGGACATCTCAGCTGTCCGTCTGCTCACTAACTCTGTCTTTTCTTATGAAAGCGCATGGCTTTTATCCTCCCCGCCGATGACAGTGTTACAGTCATGGCTCTGTGGCTTTTTCTCCCCCTTTCCCTGCTTCCAATGGCCGTGTTATTGCCCGTGACATGGTGCTATGTGCAGCCCGGCCCCGGAGATGGCCGTAGGACTGCACTCGTGCTGAGGGCATGTAATTGTGTCAGTGGCCAAGCGCAACCCAGAAAGTCGTGCCAGCCCTAGCTGGCAAACATAGAGGTTGCAGGAGGAAACCGGAGCGATGGAACGAGGACGTGAGCTGCCTTCCTGGAGGCGTTCCTGTCTCTGGCCTGCACTGGAGGCTCATACTCTCTATTTCTGGATGACCGTACCTTGCCATCTGCTCCAAACACCTGCGTTACTCTGGAGTTTCTGTCTTTGGCAGTGTTGGATGGCCCCTTTGCAGCTGCAACTGTGCTAAGTGTCCCGATTACAGTTAAGGCGATGGGAGAAGCCCTTGCCCTGATGGTGGCCGCGTTAGCTGTAAGGTTACAGGGTGAGTTTTATTCCCCAGTATCCCTGCAGCGAATGTCTGTAGGGAAGCCACAAGCTGCTGTGAGCATGTTTGGGTTTTGCTGCTGGGATCGTGTACAATAGAAGCCCCTGGAGCCATCTGGAGAAGGGCGCTCGGCCAGGGGCTGGAGGAATTGCACGAGCCGCTCGGCCTCGCCAGCGCCCCGCACTCCTGTAGCTTGGAGCTGATGGTTTCTGGCCCTCGCCTACCGCACGGGGAGAGTTGAACTGGGCTCCTTGGGGAGCACAGAGCCTCGCCAGAACTTGGGGGCTGGGATTTTATTGCCTCTGTCCACACGTGGATTCCTTTTCTGCTTCGTGAGAGAGACACGGGCGCGTGATCGCAGCACTGTTTTAAGGGAGCGAAGGCTGTGGGCTGCAGGGAAGTGCTGTTCTGCAGCCAAAATCGCTTCCTTCGGATCCCGCTGGCTCCTGCTCCGTCCCGCTGTCCCCACTGGCAGCACGAGGACCTTCCTGATGTCAGCTAGCGAGAGGCTGCTGAAAACGTGCCATCGTCCAAAGGTCCCTGTGACTGCTCCCTTCTTGTTGCTTCTCGATGAGATCAGCTGTGTCTGCGTGGTGTTTAAAAAATGCAGGTTTTGTCATGGTAACAAGGCAGTGCAGAGGAGGGAAGCCAGGCAGAGATAAGAGCCTCCCTTCTGCTCTCCCCTGAGCTGCGAGTTTATCTGCAGTTTCCTGGCAGGGTGGTGAGCGCTGGCACCGCGGTGCTGCCTTGTGAGACAAGAAAAAGGGTGAAAGAAGGATGTTCGGACTGCGTGGCTATTAAATGTATATTGTGTACTCGTCTTCGATAGGGAGCAGGAGGAGAGGAAAAGATCGGGGTGTAATGGGCAAAGGCAAGGCAAGGAAGGCCCTGGACTCTTCCGCATGAGGTGATGTGAGGGAGCCCGAGGAAGCATAAATGCTTTTTGTGCAGTGATCTTTTCTCTCCGAGGATCCCGCAGCACTTCCCAGAGGTGTAGGTCCTGCCCGGGTGAGAGGCAAACATCTAGAAGCTGTTTTATTTTCACGGAGACATCCAGGAGAGTTACGGCACGTGGGCTAGGAGCATGTCAGGGCTCCTGTTCGTTGTGGGGTGGCCCTCGATCAGCACCTTAATCTTCATACATATGCAACACTCGCAAATCCGGCAGGGACGGAGCTTATTCCTCAAGCTGGGAGCGTGCGCTTGTGCAAGGCTCCGCGTTGCCCCGTCTTGTCCCCGTCCTGGGTGAGGGTAGAGCTGCTGCCTCGCCTTTTTACCTGCTGCATCTCCCTCTCTCTGGCGTTCCAGGGACCCTTGTGTGGCTCCAGGGTCAGTGGGCAGAAGCCACCAGGTCCCAGCTGCGGGTCAGGGAAGGAGAAGCCCCTTCTGAGCCAGGCTGGGTGTCACCTCCTGTTGGGACCAGCTTAAGCCTGGCCAGACTCTAGGTGGGGCTGAAGAGTTGGAGATCTTGCCTGCACCGACCCTGGCCTGGGTTTTAGCTGGGTTTGGGCACCCAGGAGCATTCTTGAATGGAAAGCCCCTGGCCGTGGTCCCACAGCCCCTGCCCCTGGAGATCCCGGGAGAGAGGAGAGACCCTCTCCCAGCGCTGGGGTCCCAAAGAGGTGGGAGAGGGGCTGCCCACCCCGTGTGGAGGCGAGGAGGGGAGCCGTGGGCATCTTGTGCGGCTGGCGCGGGAGGGAGGTTTGCCGAGATTCTCATCCCGTGGGCGAAGGCTGAGTCACGGGCTGAGGGGAGCGTGCCGGCAGGCGGGAGGAGGAAGATGCCAAGCGCAGGATGGAGCCTCCTCGGCCCGGCCGAGCCTCCAGCCCCTCTCGAGAGCCCCGCCGCCTCTAATGTCACCCTGCGTCGCAGCGGGGACACTAGGCACCTTCCCAGAGCTGGCATCACCCGTTGACTCACGCTGCGACGTGCCTTCCTTCCTTCTTTCCCTTTCCCGTTGCTGTCAGGCTGCCTGCGCAGCATTTGCTACGATCCATGTTTGCTTGTGGCAGCAAATGGTTGCGCACATAAAACAAAACACGGCCCCCTTCCCTTGGGGAGGGAGACAGACGATTCCAGTTAGCCTTTGGAGACAGCTAAAGCTTTGCAAGGCTTCAGCCCAGCTCATTTTCGGTGGCTGAGATCAACCCAGTTCAGCACAGCAGGTCCTGCCCAGCACGGCTGGGAGCAACTCGAAAATCCTCAAAACTTTAGCGGCCAAATGCTGAGTAACATTTTTAATGCCTGTTTTGTCTTATCCCCAGCCCGTGCCCGGGGTGGAGAGCTCTGGTGCTCTGCAAACGTGACAATCATGATTAAAGCGGAAGTTTCTAAAGCTGCGTTAACCCTTTTGGGGGGTGTAGACCCCTTTTTGCTCACTTCTACAACATCTCGGGGTGCTGCTAATGGTGATGTCCACACTGAGAATCACCACCTCCCGGTTTTCACGCTTTTACCCCGGCTGAGCACCGGCAGCAGCAGATGCTGCCGGCAGAGCGAGTCCCCACGCCGTGCCTGCCCATGCAGGTGTAATTTGTCGCTGGGTTTTGGAGCGGCACCACACAAACTCCAGTACGAACTGGTAGAAAACCAGCCCTCGCCTGGTTAAAAAGCGCAGGGAAGATGTATTGCTCACTCTCTAATTGCACAAGCTGAATGGGAGCCAGTTCTTGATTTCTTAGAAATAAGGGAAGCGATGTCCCAGACCAGTTTTCCCTTCGTCGCCAGTTGGCCCGGCCGCGCCGTGCAAGGAGCCCAGATCCAGTCGCAGCCTGTTCCGACCCCTGGGAATGGCTCCTGGGAAAGGATGTGGATCCACGTGCGGCGCGGCCCTCGCCTATGGGAACTGGAACGAAGGGGCTGCTGCTCCGAGTGAGGGATCCCGCCGGGAACGGGGATTCTGGCCAGTGCCCAGCGAAGGATGGAGATGGGATGGGACCGCAGGATGGGAGCTGGAGGGGGGTTTTGGGGGGCACCGAGCAACACCCGCAGCAGACAAGGGGGTACCGAGTGCAGGGCTCAGCCCTGCGAACCGCCCCGCCGCCGGACGCGTTCCCGCGGGCCGCCGCGGGGCAGCCGCCCACGGGGATGTCTCGGTGCGGCACCGGCGTGGCGGAGGAGCCGGGGGGAGCCACGCTGGGCTGGGACACGCACCCCCCGGGGC